AAATTGAAGACCCTAAGCAACAGCTGGCCTTGGGGACAAATTTAAAGAAGCATCAGCACAATTATTTCGTTTCTCTAGGTACAGGAAATGCACATTTTTTAATCCCCTCAGCTTTTTATAATAGAAATTTTCAAATACGCAGAAGTTAAAAGATGGTGGTGAACCCCCATATACCCACCGCCTAGACTCAGTGAGCATTTTGCTGTATTTCTTTCATTAGTAAACACATCACTTGTAACGATACACTGTCCCACATATGCTTCTCTTTCTCCTTCCTCTCACCCCTACCCGGAGCAGCGCCAGACTTGTGTCTCTAGCAAAGTGGACTTTCTGTTCTCAATTTACATTCCAGTCTCTTCTCGACGACCAAGGCCTGGCAGAGGTGTCTGAGATTGCAGAGCAAGTCCTGGATGCCGTAAACAAGGGACTCTACAAAGAGGCCACCATGCTGTGGGGGAAGGCGGAAATGGTCGTTGAAAAGGTACCAGGGGACACGCTCCGGGCCAGCCTGCTTGGCTTTTCCCTCTGGGCAGCGGGCCCCTGGTTGGTGCTGGAGTCTGTCCTGCAGATCAGTTCGCCCTGGAAATTAACACGCACGCCCTTGGTTTTCTCCTGCGGCGTCGGCGCTCCACGCAGATGGGTGGCTCACTACTCTAGCTGACATTGCTAGTCTCTGAGCTTTCATTTCTTTCTAGTCCAAGCAGATATACAAAGTTAAAGCTGTCTCCTTGGATAAGATGGAGAGCCAGGTGCCTTTCCATTTTACAGCTTTGATGATAGATAAAGAAAGGAAACAAACAGCCAAGTATATGTCTGTGTATTTCAGAACACAGATGGAGTGAACTTCTATAACATCTTAACGAAGAGTACCCCTGAGTCTGCAGCAGAGTTGAGTTTTGAATTCACCCAGAGCCACCTAGGTGAGTGGACCTTGAAGTTGCGAGACCCTGTCGCAGCCTCCGTGCTAGAGGAAACCAAATTTTTAAAAAGCTTTATTGACATAGAATTTACATACCATAAAATTCATCCATTTTAAGTGCGTAATTCAATGGCCTTTGGTTTATTTACAGAGTTGTGCAAACATCACCACAATCCAGTTCTAGAACCTTTCCGTTGCCCCAGAAAGATCCCGCGTGTCCCACATGTCCGCCTGCTGTTCCCACCCTCAGCCCTAGGCAACCCCTGGTCTGCTTTCTGTCTCTAGATTTGCCTTTTCGGGACATTTCATATAAATGGAATCCTGCACTAGGCTGTCTTTTGCATCTGGCTTCGTGCACTTAGATAGTGTTTCTGAGGTTTGGAAACCGGCTTCTGCACATTGAATTACGATGTCAGTCCTCCTAAAAGCTGGACTGAGTTGTCTTCCAGCTGCGCCTGCTTCACTGTGGGTCCAACTGCCTGGCATCCTCCTTCCGTACAGAAGCTGCAGGAACCTCTTGATTCCACCCAGCTGATTTCCTTTGGCCGTGCTGGATAATCTCCACGGCCCCAAAGTACATAAAAGGCAGCAATCAAAACTAATACAGCATCTCCACTTTGAACATGGTCCCGACTCTCTCCCCCATCTGGGGAGAATCAGGGGGATGCTTTTCATTTCCCAGGTGCAGGCCTCCCTCTTAGGCACAGCATCCCCAGAAGCCTAGAAAAGAGGTCCTCTTGGTCGAATCTCCAGTCCTTTGACTCACCGTGTACCAGTTTGTTTTAGTCCGTCTTTTCCAGCGCCACGTGAGACACCTGCAAGAGGATGACTTGAGTCAGCTCATGAACGGTCCCATCAGAAAGAAGCTCAAAATTATTCCTGAAGACTGCTTCTGGGGAGGTAACTTACGTGGGCTAATTAACTGCCTTTTGTAGAGCTGGGGGTGAGAGAGGTGGAAATGCAAAGCCCTTAACTTGTGGGATGGGTTTTTGTGGTGGTGAGGGTGTGTACGGGTAGAACACTATTGCTGTCCACATTTTACGGATGAGCAAACACGTACTGAGACAGAAATAACATGCCTAAGTTGGTTCAGAATAAGGGGTTGGTACGGGAAGTGGGTGGGGAGGAAGTAAACGATTGTGAGTTGATCACTGTGAAGCCAGGCAGGTTGGGTACGTAAGAATCATCAGACACGCTTCTCTTTCCTTTGTGTCAGTTTGAAGTTTTCCATAATGAAACACTGAGATTAAAAGAGCCATGCCTGGGGGAGTGGAAGCAGGGTATAGCTCAGTGGTAGAGCGCGTGCTTAGCATGCACGAGGTCCTGGGTTCAATCCCCAGTACCTCCGTTAAATAAATAAATAAGCCTAATCTCCTCCCTCCAAAAAAAAATTTTTTAATGTTTATTGGAAAAAAGGAAAGCCATGCCCAAGGCCACAGTTGGTTGTGGTGTGACTTCTGGACAAAGTCCTTTTGGACAAGTTTTGATCAGCTCTCTCTGGCCAGCCTCCCCACGCATCCTGATGTGGATGTGGTCTGCCATCTACCGCATCCTGGTATAAAGATCACAGTGAGGAAATACCAGGGTCCCCAGGAACCAGGGCCGGGTAGAATCTAGGACAAGTTCCTGCTCAATTCTGTAAGGAAGCCACAAGCAAGTGGGACTCCCAGACTCCTGGAGGGGGAACACTCCAAGCTGAGGAGAATTTCGTTCATGTCCAAAGTACCCCAAAGCTATGCCTCGGTAGGGCGGCCCCTTGACAGCTGCAGAGAGGCTCAGACTTGGCTCTGGTCCTGCCTTCCTCAGGACACACAGCCATCCTCCCAACCGGCAGCCAGCAGAGGACTCGTCCTAGACCTGGTGTCTTCCACTTCACCCCTTAGCGCTTTCTAGAAATGAGGGGAAGGTTAATTGGCTTAAATAAAAAGAATGCGATGTCAGAGCTGTAAGGGGTGGGGACCACTGTGCAAGGAGCAGGAGGAATGAGCGCCCCCAGGAGGCCAGATGAAGGTCAGAATCACAAGAGCACATCTTTTCAGCCCAGCCCCCTCGTCTTACCTTTGTGACACTGTTGTCCAGCCTGGCTTCTGTCGTTACAGGGATCCTCCCCCTCTGCCCAGTGTGGCTAGATGGGCGGGCCGACTGCTTTTTTGCAGATGCAGACTGATAGAGAAAACTCTCTCGCTCCACGAGTGTCTGTTTGTGGCTTGGAAAGGAGTTGTCCTTGCCCAGTGCCAGTGTCCTGAGTCCAGTTTGTAGTTGAGCCAACCCACTCTGAAGGCAGCCAGACCTGTGTGCATGTCCCAGGTGGTCCCTGGCTGTTTGACCTGGGGCGGGCTTCTCAGCCTCTCTGAGCCGCATCCTCTGTAGCCATGGCAGCAGTGAAATCTCCTAACCCCCCAGGGCTGACAAAGGTGAAATGAGATGTTGCTTGTCGAGCACTTACTTAGCTCGGTGCGTGGCAAGTGAAAACAGACGGCAGCTGTGCTGCAGTTGTTCGGTGTGATGGTGCTGATGCTGGTCAGCCGGCGCTGAGCATCCCCTCTCTTGCCTGGGGCTAGTCATCCTGGTGACTTCCCCCAGGGCCAGCTCTGAATTGGTTTAGGGCTGGTGTCTTTATTACCGGGGTAGCTCTGCTTATTCAGAACTTAACACTTGGCCCTGGTGTTACGCAGCCAGGGAGGAAAACTAACACTGGCCTCGAAGCAGTTTGTGCCCTGAGAGGAGCAGCCTGAAGTGTATTTTGTGACCCTCCCTGTTCCCCTGGGTATTAGCCTAGGTTCCCATCCCTCATTGGAAATGGCATCCGCTCTCATCCCAGGCACCCGAGCGAACAGAGCACGGGTGCGGTGTGTGCCCCACTTCCACGTGGCCGGCTCGGGGCACAGATGGGCCGCTTGGTCCCGCTGGTGAAGCGTCGGTATGCAGTCTCCAGTAGGTGCTGGATGCTCTGGGCCGCTTCTTGCTCTAGCAGATTCTGAGCTGCTGCCTCATTCTCCTTCCCCCCCATGCAGGCCAGTCTACCAGTGTCTTCCAGAACATGGAGGGGGACTTCATGAAGCCGGTCGTCAGCATTGTGGACGAGCTGCTGGAAGCCGGGGTCAACGTGACCGTGTATAACGGGCAGCTTGACCTCATCGTGGACACCATGGGTAGGGACCACTCGGAGGGGCGCATGGGCTGAGCTGGAAGGGGACTGGCCTCTTGGGGCTGCGGACATTGAAATGGCAGAAGGAAGGCCGTTTCCTGTTACATGCGTCCACCCCTGACCTTGGCTCTTTGGAGAGGGCGGGGCTGCCCTAGGCTGTGACCTGCTCAGAGAAGCCAGGTCTGTCCAGCTTTTGAGGCCTTAGATATGATTAAAGAAAAGGACAACACCTGCCCCCACCACAAACATTTAAAAGAAGCCATTTCTGGGGCCATTTGGACAATGGCAGCATTTAACTGGGGGGAAACGTCGTTTTGGGGCGGTGTCACAGGAGCTGGAAGCCCTGCAAGGTGAGTTAAGACTAAGACTCGGCTCTTAATGCCGGGCCCTTCTTGTCCCCCTTGCCAGGTCAGGAGGCCTGGTTGCGAAAACTGAAGTGGACAGAGCTGCCCAAGTTCAACCAGCTGAGGTGGAAACCGTTGTACACTGACCCTAAATCTTCTGAAACATCTGCTTTTGTCAAGTCCTACAAGAACCTGGCTTTCTACTGGATCCTCAGAGCTGGACACATGGTGAGAGAGAGTCAGTGTTTGTGGCAGGCTTCGGGCTCTGCCGGGTGACCCACAGGCACTGGTGACGCGTGTCACCGCCTGGGCTGGTCTCATACGTGCATTGGGCCTGTGGGTGTTGCAGGCTCACTAAGGAAGCTCTGCTTCATTTACAAAGTAAATCCTCCTGAGACTCACCCTGGGCTCTCTATCCTCTGCTCTTTAAATGAGTCGAATGGTACTTTCTTCTCAACAGTCCGTCCTGAAGGAACACGTGGTCCTGAGGGAAGGAGGGAGAAGTAGTCTTTCCCCAACGTTTTCAGGGGGTGAATCCGGAGCTCGGAGGTCTGTAAGGCTGAGCGCAGTGCAGGTACAAGGCGGGGAGAGTTTGGGAGCAGCGATGGTTCTAGAACTCCAATCCAGAAGAGGCTTCTCCTGCAAAGAGGGGCACTGAGGCCACTGCACTCCCGCCCCTGCACAGAGAACACAGTGTTTTCCCTGAGGTTGTAGGTTGACTGAGTGACTTCCCATGGGCTGAGGGAGACTGTGGAGGGGTGACTCCACACACACATGCACGCACACACGCATGCACACACACACGGACACCCACACAGGAGCCAGAGGCTGGAATGTCAGGAGGTGGAAAGGGCCCAGGGGCTTCCCTGATAGTTATGCTTTGGTCGCTTAAACACAGGGTCTCCCTTCATCCCAGGATGGTGGTTTCCTGGAGGAGGTAATTGGGAGGGATGGTAAGGCTTGGCTCCATTGTGCCGAGACAGAATCTCCACAGGGTAGGGGCTGAGGGTCTGCTGTGTGCCTGGAAAGAAGGTCTAAGGAACAGGTCTTAAAGCTCTGTGTGCATGCCAAGCACACAGTGTGTTTACTTGGATGGCCAAGGAGGTGCTGAGGGATTTGAGGGCTGGGGGGCCAAAATGGCCCCTCTGCAAGCTACTCTTTAGGGCCATTCGTGGTTCCCAGCTGGGGTCAGTCTTGCCCCTCAGGGGACTTTGGTGATGTCTGGAGACATTTTGGATTGTCACAGCTTGAGGGTGGTTGCTCCCAGGATCCAGTGGGTAGAGGCCATGGGTCCTGGTATACATCCTCCCATGCACAGGACAGACCCCCCCCCACCATGAAGAATTATTCCACATAGAATGTCAGTCATGTCAAGGTCAGGAAACCCTGGTATAGAGGAACCGGAGCTGGGGTATCTGGTAGACTTGGTCTCACAATATTTATTAGGTATTTTGACCCTGGCTCACTTATTCTTAATCTCTCTGACTCTGAGTCTCCTCTTAAGAACTTCCCAGAAATGAAGATGCAGCCAGCTTTTGGAGAACCTGACTTACTCTTTGGTTCCTTTCTTCATTGAGCAAACATTTGAGTGTCTCATAACTGCTAATCCCCATGCCAGGCACTGGGAATTCATGGATGGATGGTGCACCATCCGTGTCCTCAGGGAGCTCTTGGGCCAGAGGGATAGACAGGCCAAGAGACTAACAACATGGGGCAAGAAATGCCAGGGGGAGAGGAAGCCCAGGCCAGGCTTCGGGGTCTAGAAGACCGGGCTGTAAGCATGGGCAGGAGATAGCTCGATGAAGAGGAGATGTGGGGGGTTCCCGAGGAGCCTTCAGACAACTGAGGCCTCAAGGTTGGGGAGGGGTGTCTCCCCATCACCAGGGAGAGGTGAGGTAGAAGAAGGAGACTTTCTATACTTTAGTAAAGGAGCTCAGACCTACCCTGAAAGCAACGGGGTGCCACTGGGGGGTTTTAAGCAAAGGAGTGGAGTTACCAGATTTGTCTATGAAATAACACTCTAGCAGTTGAGGACGTGGGACAAGACTGGGGCAGAGAGCTGATCTAAGATGCTTTTATGATCACCCAGAAGGGAGAGAAGTAGAGGAATTTGATAAAGTGTAAGAAGGGAGATTGAGCAGCACTTCGCGACTGTTTCCCTGTGGATCAGCCAAGAAGGGTGTCCGCAGGGAATTGATTGTATAAACTGCATCTGTAGAGGTCTGCAGTTAAATGTTTGTCCGTGGAGATAGAGGTCTGGGAGTCAAGTGTGGAAAAGGCAAGGGACTGGGTTTAAGAGGCGGGAGGAAAAAGAAGGGCCCACAAATGGGACTTGAGAAAGGAGCAGCTGGAAAAGCAGGAGGGAGACCAGGGACACCCCCAAAGCAGAGGCGGGCCGGCGGTGTCCGGTGCTGCTGAGAACCCAGGTAAAGGACTGCGACGTTAGCAGTGATTTGGGTTCACTGGAGTCGCCGTGACTGTGGCAAGCATCCTAAGACAGCGTCCGGACTGGCAGGCTGGGGAGCTAGCATGGAAAGGACGGAGCAGATGAATGAGCAGCAAGGGTGAGAGGGCAGCTTTCTTTAAGAAACCAGAAGGAAGCAGGAGGCCCACTTTCTTAAGAAACTTGATTTGAAGAAACAGTGAACAAGGTGGCAGCAGGTCACAGGGTTAAGAAGGCATTTTGTCGTGGCTCTGAGTGAGTACCTTTGGTGTTGACTGGGAAGAGGCAGGGGAAGTCTCAGAGCACACACAGTTCTAGGCAAGGGTCCCTGCGGAGGCAGGTCAGAGGGGCGGGGGGTGGGGACCAGCCGTGGGCTCTCACCAGTGCACGGAGTTCAGGCCCGTTTCCTCTTGGTTTGTCACAGACAGAACAAGACATCAGTTGGGGGCAGCCTTAAAATAGCACCTGGAGGCTGTTATTAAATCACCCCTCAACCACTTCCCCTTCAGTTGGTGGAGTGTCGCTACCCCACCGTGCCTGCGCCTCCCCCCGGGGACCTTGCCTGGCGGGAGGGCTGGGGGCAAGAGTGTGAGAGAATCGTAGAACCATGGAATTTCATAACTTGGAGCCATCTACTCTACCCACCATCTTTGTGGAGGAGAAACGGAGGCCTCGGCCCCTTCCCCTTTGGATGGGGTGTGGGGAACAGATTTTTTAAAAGGAATTACTTGAAAAATCTTACAGAAAAACGAAAGAAAATTGAATAACAATGTAAAACTGGGGGTGCCACCCAAAGGGTCCTGTTGGTTTGTATTTGTTTATAGGTTTGCTGGTAGCTTCCCTCTCAGCTGTTTGCTTCCCTGTTCCCAGAATGGAATCTTTTCTACACAGAGAATCCTTTAAAATGTTTAGAGGGAGGGTATAGCTCAGTACGGGCTTAGCGTGCACGAGGTCCTGGGTTCAATCCCCAGTACCTCCTTTAAAAAACAATAAATAAATAAACCTAATTACCTACCCTCCCGGCCAAAAAAAAGAAAAATGTAGAGTCTTCCCTCTTCCTTGAGCAGGCTGGGTCTTAATAACATAAGCACAGCCTTTATATAGAGAAATCAATAAATCAGCCCCAAATGGAATAGAAGGTTCTTTCCTAAATGCTGACTTCTCTAGACCGCTGCACCCAGCATGGTAGGGGGCCCAGAAGAGCTTCTGTCCAGCACATGGTCGTTTCACAGAAGGGACCCTGTCTTACAGGATGCAGCCAGGTGCAGCTGTCCTCCCAGGTCGCTGTCACAGAGCTGTTCCCCTTCCTGGTTGCTGAATCTGAAGCCGGCCCTAGGAATGGAATCAGGAGCGCTAACTCAGATACTGCTTGATTCTAGGTCCCTTCCGACCAAGGGGACATGGCTCTGAAGATGATGCGGCTGGTGACTCGGCAAGAATAGGATGGGCTGGGCTGGAGGTGAGCTGACTGGCCTCGGCGCATGGGAACTGGAGCAAGCACCCTTCTCCCCCTGAATCTGATCTGGGGGCGGTGAGGGGGGAGAACCAGACCTGGGCTGTGGTTGTGAAGGTTCCTGTTGGCTTCCACAGCAAACAAAATCACTGCCTCTGTGGCAACTTGGAAATCATTTCTGCTTCGGAAAAAAAGTGATTTTTTAAAAAGTGGTTTTGTTTTAATCAGAGTGAAGCGTTGAAATAGATTAACATTTTCTTATCACAGAAGCAAATGATGTGATTTATAGAGAAAAGGAAAATGCAGGTAAACAATGAACAAAGTGAACCTGTATGCTCCTTTCAGGGATAAGCGCTGTTACCACTGTAGTGTATGTCCTTGCACATCTTTTTGTTTTGCTATATATGCATATATATTTTTTACAAAAAAAAATGGAATCATTGCTCTTATTTTATGGTCTACTTTGTTCACACATCTGTATGTCTTAAACACCTTTCCATGCCAATAAATGTTCTCTTATAATGTTTTTAATGTTCTGAGCATTCCACTTTATGGATATACCATAATTTATGTACCAAATGCCCAGGGGTTTCCCATAAGCAGTTTCTGGTTTGTCGATTTTATAAATGGTGGTCCAGCGATGCATCCTGATAGTTACATTTTTATGCCCATCCTTATCATTTTCTCACAACAGATTCCTAAAAGCTCACTTATTCAGTCAAAGGACTGTAACATTTCTTTAAAATTAAAATGATGGATTCAGGGCTTTTTAAGTTTTAACTCACGGCTCAAGATCTGCCTAAGGGACCTGATAGCTTCTATGACAGTCCTGAAAGAAATACGGCCTCCTGTAGTTGCGGGGCTGAGATATTAAAAAAAAAGCAAAGCAAAAAACAAACCCAAAGTCTGTTCCTGCAGAGTGTGAGTTAATAGCAGGTTCTGCCCACGTGACCAGCCCCCCTGACCAAGACTGAAACAGGCTGTACACGTGCCCCACAGTTTGCTGCTGGGAAGAGAGCACTCCTGTGCTCCTGCGTCCCTGGGACAGGGACAAACGTGAGAGGTTTGTGCTGGGTCCCCCCGGACTCCACCAATGCATATCATTCCCCTGATGCTTCTGCAGGGTATCTTTTGCTGGAATAACTCTGAATATAACAAGTTACTGAGTCTTGTGAGTCCTTCTGGCCTTGAATTACAACACAGATTGAATTCGCAACCTCACAGGGTCTTTTTAGATAGAAGTCAGGGTATGGTTTGGGAAGGAATGTGAGTTTGAACATTAGGTCATATGGGCAGATTCCAATGAAGCGGAGGACCTCAAAGCTTCTTTGCCACAGGAAGCAGCCCTTCCACCCCTGCTGAGGAGGTTAATCTCCTCTTGCCCTAAGATTCTATAACCAATTCCCAGACTTGCCCAAGAGCCCTGTTCTGCTGCATTGTAGTCTCTCCACCCACACCCATGCCTTCTTGGGGATTCCCTATGATGAGTTGACTGAGAAAGAAAAGTCTCAGGCTTGGTTTATAGATAGTTCTGCATGACATGTATGCATCACCTGAAAGAGGACAGCTGTGGTTCCACAGCTTTTCTTTGGGACAACTCTGAAAGACGGTGGGGAAGGGAAACCCTCCCTGTGGACAAAACCTAGAGCAGTGCACCTGTTTGTTCATTTTGCCTGGAAGGAGAGATGGCCAGAAGAAAGGGTCTGCACCAAATCATGGTTCGGCTGGGTAGTTGGACTGGAAGGAGCGCCACTGGAAAACCAGAAGGTCTAAAAGAGAGGTATGAGGGTAGATCCCTCTGAATGGCAGTGTATGAAGATATTTGTGTTCCATGTGAATGCTCGCCAGAGGGTAGAGGGAGCTTTTAATAGTCAGGTGGGTGGAATGACCCATTCTGTAGACATCGGACTATCTCCTTCCACAGCAGCCCCTGTGGACTTATGAACAGAGTGGCCGCAGTGACCGTGATAGAGATTATGCCTGGGCTCAGCAACACGAACCTGTGTTCACCAAGAGTGCCTAATCTGCCAGCAGAAGAGACAACACTGAGCCCCTAGTATGGCACCAGTGCCTGAAGGGATCAGCCAGCTACCTGGTGGTAGGTTGATTACATTGGACCGCTTTCATTATGGAAGAGGCAGCAGGTTGTTCTGACTGGAACTGACACTTGCTCTGGACATAGATTTGTCTTCACTGCCCACCGTGCTGCTGCCAAAACCACCATCTGTGGCCTTCCAGAATGCCTCGTCCACCGCCATGGTATTCCCAGCAAATGAAAAGCAGCAGTGGGTTCATGCTCTTAGAATTCATCGATCTCACCATGTTCCCCATCACCTTGAAGCAACTGCTTTGACAGATGGTTGAATGGCTTTTTGAAGATTCAGTGACAGTGCCAGCTAGGTGGTAGCACCTTGCAGGGCTGGGACGGTGTTTTCCAGTTTGTGGTAAATGCTCTAAATCAGCATTATGTTTCTCCCATCGCCTGGACCCAGCAGTCTAGGAACCAAGAGATAAAAATGAAAGTAAATCTGCTCGCTATTAACCCTAATGATCCCATAGTCAAAGTTTGGCTTCCCGTCTCTGCAGCTTTGGCATCTGCTGGTCTAGAGGTCTTAGTTACAAAGGGAGAAGTGCTTTCAATGGGAGAGACCGCAAAGACCGCCTTGGATTGGAACCTGAAGCCGCCATCTGGCCTCTTCAGGCACAGAATCCATAGGCAAAGCACTGGCTGGGGTGGCTGACCTGACTGTCAAGGAGAAATTGGGTTGCTGCTACACAGCGGGGGTAAGAGGGATACTGCTGGAGACCCTTTGGGGTGCCTCTTAGTACTCCCATGTCCTCTGGTTAAGGTCAATGGAAAAACTACAGCAACTCAGCTTAGACTGCTGATGTCCCAGATCCTTCACAAAAGGTCTGGGTCATTCCACCAGGCGAGGAACTGTGACCAACGGAGGTGCTTGCTGGGGGCAAAAGAAATACGGAATAAGTAGTAGATGACTGTGATCATAAATACCCCTCGTGACCTTGTGGCCAGCTGTAGATCAGAGACTCTAATAGTTTCTTTCTTTCTTTTTTTTAATTGAGGGCAGTAATTAGGTTTTCATTTGTTTGTTTGTTTATTTTAATGGAGGTACTGGGGATTGAACCCAGGACCTCGTGCATGCTAAGCACGCACTCTACCACTGAGCTCTACCCTCTCCGCTCATTATCTATTCTGGATGATCACTGTCCGGGTACCGTTGTAAAGAGCAGCCAACTCCCTGAATACTTTCCCTGAACTCATGGTACAGTTTCACACCTTCTTTTGTAACTTCAGCCTTACCGTCTGGGATCAAGAAGAGAGGGATCAAGCTCAGGCAACATACGGAGATTTAATGTTTATATGTTTTTAATCATTATGTGATTTTCATTTTATGCCCTCCCTTTTTTTTTCCACTTAATAGTATTTCATATAAAGCTTTTCAGTTATTGGAGTTTCTCGATTAGTGAACGCATCAAGGTGCTGGGAGAGTGATGTGCCTGGAGAAGGCATGGAAGCTCCTAGCTCCCACTCCCATAGCTTGCCCTATGCATCTGAGTTGTATCCTTTATAATAAACCAGTAATTGTAAAATTCTTCCTGAGTGAGTTGTTCTAGTGAATTATTGAACCTTGGGGAGGGATTTGGAGGAATCCTCAATTTGTAGCCAATTTAGATAGATAGAAGTGTGGGTACCCTGCTCACCCCATTTGTGACTGGTGTCTGAAGTGTGCGGCCCAGCCCTTAAACTTGTGAGGCCTGGCGCTAATTCTGGGTAGTTTGTGTCAGAATTGAATTGAATTGTAGAATAGAATACCTAGTTGGTGTCAGAGAATTGGAGAATTGGTTGTTGGTGCGAAAAAACCCCACCCATTTGATATCAGACGTATTGTGAGTCAAAACAGCTCTTTTGGTTGTCAGAAAAATGGGGTATTTGCTAAAATGGCCCTTGCTCATGGAAACATGTGGTTTGGGAAGAAGAAAAATGAAAGGGTGGGGTATAAGGAACCTTGATTCCTGGGTGGTCATGTAGTCACCCGTGGCACGGAGCAGCAGCTGTATAAGTTACCAACAGTGAAAGTTAATGATCCCTGGAGAGTTGGTCTACTCGATGCATGAGAAATGTAAACGAATAAGAAAAAAACAAAACACCAGTCTGTTGGTTATTGTTATGTGTAAAGGCTAAAATGAAATTTAAAAAGAGTGCTGGGTCAGACATTACTGCTGAACCCAGCTCAGATTTCTATCCATCTGAGCTTCTGCCACTAGCCTCAACCCCCAAAAGGAAGGATTATGTGGGGACAACAGAGAGTAACTCTAATACCTCTGGTCACCAAGAAGGTGGTCTGCTTGGGGGAGGGCAAAATCAGGAAACTATTGAAACCCCGGGGTGGAGCATAAAGGATCTGTCTCACTTCATGGATTGGGATCATCAGCTTCCTGAAGAACCTTTGCTAGAGTGGATTGTGAGAGTGATTTGGGGGCGTTGTCTTTGGTTTTGAAAGCTGCAAGGGGGAAAAGCGTGTTTGGGTTGATGTAGGACCCACAGTTCACTATGGAACAATCAGAGATGCTGTGCAAGATTCAGAGTAACCTACTGGTTATTCCTGAGGAAACATGAGCCTGGTGAACCAAATGAAAGTCAACGTAAGATGTGTCTACCCTGGGAAGGGGGACTGTCTGACTCTCCCTATAAATGCCAAGTGAACACCCGCTATGAAGCAGCTGATAAGCTCTGTATGCAATCTGTGTGGGACTGGCTTCACGGTGACCAGGATATTCACCTGCTAAATATGCCTGCATTGACTTAAAACAATAAAACAGCAGCAAAATGGGTTTATTTGGGAACAGCAAAGAACTGCAATTCAGAACATGCGATCTATGGTGAAGCACCCTCAAGTCCTGAGAACAAAGGAAAGGAACGTTCTCTTATAAAGGAGAAGAAGGAGCTGGGAGGGGTTGTTATAAATAAAGAGTCCATTGGGAGGAAGCTGGGAGTTCCAAGTGTAGTGGCTTTTCATCGGCTGAGTTGTGACTGCTTCTCATTGGCTGGGCTGTTGCTGGACAAGCGGAAATTCTTCCTTCTGCTGGGCAGTAAGCTAGTAACCTTCCTGTTGAACGTGCAAAGGTACATCTCTTCCTATTGGGTCTGCAATTGACTTCAAGTGCTCGTGCCTAAGAGCGCCCCCTTCTGGCCTCCTGACTCAGTTTTCACACCTGTTACCCAGGTCATGGCAGATGCTGTGTTTGCAGGGGGCCCTTTTTCATTGGGCACCCTATGTAGCTTTACTGCTGCAAAATCAGCTATAATCTCAGAAACTTTATTGAATTTGCTGTCTCAGCTTCTCCTCATGTGTTTTACAGATGCTAAAAAATATTTTAGGTTAATGAACAAGAGAAAGTGGAAAGGCAGGGGGGAGGGTCAAGGAACACATCCCAGCAGGGTGGAAATATTTAGAAATGGGATAAATAAAACTGGACATTGATGGGTTCAAAACAAAGGTCTTACTATAGCACTGTTGAAGGTTAGGTGGACCAAACGGATCCCCTGATGGGCCCCAAACAAGTCTACTCTATCTACTTTGGTTAAATAATTTTTTTTTAATTTAAAAAGCTGGCAGACAAAGATTGCAATCAGAAACCTAACCTGGAGTAGGCTGAAGCAATAGCTAGGCAGTTGACCAAGATAAAGACTGTTAAGGTAACCAGATTAGGCCCAAGATGGAGTCGCTCATGCTAAACCCAAGTCAGCAAATGAAAAGTTCGCTAAGTTTCAACGCTGGGCTCTCCCGGCAAGGGAGGATGTGGGCCTACCCATCAGCTTTTTTGCCTGCTCAGCACTGGCCCAGCTATTCCCTTTGCTCCATGTAAGGAAAGAAACCCTACCTTAATCAATCACCAGATGCTCACTATAACTTCCTTGTTCCTGCTCCTTCTGCCTATAAAATGTCTTGCCTTTTGCAGCTCTTTGGGGCTCCTATCTAACTGCTAGATTGATGCTCCCTGATTTTTGAATCTCTAAATAAAGCCAATAAGATCTTTAAAACTCACTCAGTTGAATTTTGTTCTTTAACATGACTGACTAAAGGCCAGAGTCCCTGGGCTCATCCCCCTGCTGGAGACCCAACACCTTTGATCAGGGAGTGAAGGAGAAGATCTCTGGGACTCCTTGACATGGGAGCCCCAAGCACCGTGGTACCAAAACTCATCTGTGAAGCCCTGATTAAGATGGAGGTTTGGATGAAAATTGTAAGGTTTCAACTGGCTGTATGTGGAGAGGTGGTGTCTCCTTGACATGAATGTTCCATGGATGGACATCATGTCTGACTGGGGAATGCCTCCCCTGCCTACAGTTAGGAATGTAAAGACTGATGGGATTCAGGTGAAAGTTTATATGAAAATTCATATGTCTGAAGTGGCTGCATCTCTTTTATCTGAATGATGATGGGGACGGACATGGTGCCTGACGAGGGAACTGCTTCTGAGAACAGGAAGTGTGTAACTCTACCCTTCGGGCTGTATTATTTGGACACGCTAAATGCAGACCAATGAGATGGCCTAAGTCCAAACAGTACAAACTGGAGTGCTGACATGGATAAATTCTCTGTGCAGTAGCTGTGTGTGCAACAGAGATGGGCTTATTGCAGAAGCCTGCAACACCTTCCAGCGTTGACTACAGGACTTCAGTCCAGAGATTCCCATCTGAGGGGTAATTACTAGCTTGCTGTAAGACATTAATAAAAACTGCTCCTGTGACTGAAGGATATACAGTAATCTTGAAACTTGAAATGCCTATGATGTCTTGGGTGATGTCGGAAAAACACTCTATCAGGAAGGGCAGTACCCAGATGCTTTATACAGCATCACGCTACCCATGGGATGCAAGGGTCATGTAGACACAAGCAAGGAGCCTTTTTCCCCAGGACTGACTTTGAATTTGTATAAGGAGCCGTCAAATTCTGTCATCATTTGGACAGTGCCTTATAAACTGCTCTCAACTGACCAACAAAGAGCTGCTTGGCTTGTGGATGGCAGCCCCAAGGTGAACAGACAACATTCTGTTTTGAAGGCCACCCTCTGTCTGAAGGAGGTAAAAACTGATCAGCTCAGTAGGCTGACTTGCATGCTGTTTTCCTAGCAGTGATGGGAGAATTGAAGAGTGATAAAAGCCCCTATGTTTAGATTTTTATCCACTCATGGGCAAAGACTTATGTCTATGTAATGAATCCTATATAACAGGATTCTGAGAGCTTCCAGATTGGTAAACACATCAAGGGGCTGGGAGGGTGCCACCCCCAGAGGGGGCATGGACACTCTGCGCCCCTCACCCTATACCTTGCCCTCTGCATCTCTTCCATCTTCCATCGGGCTGTTCCTGAGTTGTATCCTTTATAATCAACCAGTGATAGTAAGTAAAACAACAATAACCACAACAAACTTTCCAGTTATTTATGTAATTTGTGTAATTATGTAATTTA